CCTTGCCTTGCTGTGCATCCCCCTTACTTCCTGGCCTCCACCCGTCTCAGCTAGCGACTGCCACCATGGCAACTCTTCCTCTGGCTGAACAGATGGGACATTGAGTCTCCTCCGAGAGCAGAGTGCCGCTCACGCCCTGCCGGGAATCAGGTGGCGGGCTGCACTCCTTTCTGCAAAATTTAAAGCAAGCTCTGCCCAGCAGAGGCATGCTGGTTTTGAGGGTGCTCAGTTTCACAAATAATACTGTGGTCTAATAGTTGCTTGCAGAAATAAAACATAGTGGCTGAACTGGGATTATTTCTATGCCTGAAAGCTCTTCAGAGAAGCTTTGCCTTTGGTGCGAAGAGCTTGGTGTCAGCCAGCAGCCGGTGATTTTCTGGTAGAATGGTTGCCATCAACTTTTTTTTTCTCTTTAGGATGCGTCAGGATGAAACGCCACAGGCATCTAAGCACCAGTGACAGTTCAGACAATGAGAGTAAGTAATACCTACTAGTTTTTCTTTGGTCTATCACCCCCTTGTGGTTTCCTTGTGTGGTTTGAGGGCAAACCGTTTCACCTCTTATAATTAAAAACAAAAAAAAAAAAAAACCAAACAACCCAACCACGTTTCTTGCTTGATTTCTTTTTGCGTTCTGTGGTCTTTGGTGTTCTGAATCCTGTTATGGGAGGAAAATGAGGCGAAGGATCCTGGAAACCTGGGGGCAGTTTTGAGTCTACTTAGAATTTGAAGAGAAACTTTTATGTCTTTCCCTTTCAGAGTTGGGAAAAAGAAATCTGTAATTCAAGAGAAGTTTTACTATCTGGGGTCCTATTTTCTAATTTTTTTTTTTTTTTTTTAAAAAGAGTCCTGTTGTCTCTTGTTGTGCAGAGCCTCAACTTTAAAATTAGTGGGGTGGCAAGCTATTTGAGCATTGATATGTTAGAGTTATATATAATAGGGTAGAGTTTTAAAAAGTATATTGATTGTTATGTTATCTTATACTGGTTCTTGATCTATTTCTCTTTGGTCTGTTATACAATTTAGTAAAGTTATATTTTAAATGTTCCTTGGCACACATCTGCCTGAGGTTGCATCTTCTCATTTTATCCGCAAAAAAACCCTGTATGGCAGGGTCTTGTTTGTTTCTTATAAACCAGTTCCCATCTAATAACTCCATACATAATGATGATTCATTGTCATATTTGTTGCGAGTCATCAATGTATCCTGTACTGAAATAACATTTTGCCCAGAAGTGTCTAGATATCACACTACGATTTTTTTGCATCTCTCATCAGCACGCTTTAGTATTATTGGTTTTTTGTTTGGTTTTTTTAGCATTTGCAAACTCTGTCCTCGGTTTTCCTCCTCCTTCCACTTTGTTAGAAAGGAAATGAAGGAAAGTGGTCTGCCTGCTCGTTTCTGTTTACTCATGCTTGTATTGGGCAAAGCAGAATGTACCCACAAACTTGTTGTACTGTGGTTTTACAAAGAACGAATGGAACAGGAGGAGCTGTAATCAAGCCTACAGACTGCCTAAGAGGTTTTTTTTGCCCACGTCTTGTCAAAAAATCATGATAATTCAAGAGATTGGAGTGCCTTGTGTTTTACTGAAAAATTAAATGAATTGAAATGAGCTATAATGGGTCTTTTTTTTTTTTTTTTTTTTTTAACAGGTCCTTCCACTTCCTTTTCTTCTTGTTCTAAATACAGGAGCAAGTCAAAAACACCAGCAAATGAACAAAAGAAACCTGCTGAGGTAAGAACCAGGGTTAAAGATTGGTCCCTGGTAGTTTTTTGTCATGTAGTTTTCATGTTTCTAAGCCTTGAAATCGTGAGCTTTGAACTAGTGCCAGTGAGTCCTTTTGTCACCTGTCAAATTCTCCATGAAACTGTGTTTTCCCCACTGCGCGAGTATTATAGGAGCTCTGGTGTTTGATGTCCCAAAATGACTTACGGCATTTGCAGACAGTAACATGTAGTTCTTTCTTCCCCTGAAGTTTAGGCTCATTTTGAAATTGAAAAAGCTGGGATGGTCTTATGATTTGAGAGCATGACACAGGAAGAAGTGGTTCGTGTGTATGGGAAGGATGCTTTCCTTCTGCTTTAGGATAAAACGGGGACACTTAGGTGAGCAGGATATGTATGAACAGTGCTTACTCATCTTCTGCCACTTTCTCACTCTTGGCTTTTTACCTTCAATAAAGCTTTTTTACTCTGCCATCCCCACCTGTTAGGACTTCTACACCTATCACCACTGTTACTGGATCTGTATTCACCAGTTGAATAAATTGGTATTTATGCACAATCCAGTGCTCAAATCCATCCTATCAGTCATTCCACTGGTAGCCCTTTTCGGGAAGGATTTGTTGGCTGCCTTCTCCAGATTTGATGCTTGCTTTCTTAAGGGCTGAAGTCAGATAATAATTGCAAATGGGAGAAATGTTTCTTGTAGCTAATTCCCCTTACTTGCATAGACATTCCCTCCGAATGTGTCCTTCAACGCGCTCATATGACTGTTGATGCCTGAGGTTACTGAAAAAAAGACTGACAAAACCCACTTTGCTTCTCTAGAATTTAAAGCTCAGAGTTATGTCCCAGAAGTAATTTTGTGTACTATAGCAGCAGCTTTTTACCTGCCTAGATACTACTGCGAGAGGTTGCATAAACTGTATAGATTGTGTTCATACAGCAAAAGCTATTCAGCAAACATACTTCATGCTTCTTTTTAAATGCTGCTAACTAGAAGAGTTTGGTTTGGTAAGAACAAGGTAAATGCTTGTCTTTTCTTTGGACATGTCCTTTCTTTGGAAGCTTAATTTTTATCACAAGTTAATTGAAGAAAACTCACTGATTCATTTCTAAAAGAGAATCTTGCATGAATGTTTCAATGAAAGCAAAATTGGCCAGAACTAGCTATATAATGTTTTATTTACAGCTACCAAGAAGGTTAAGAAAAGCCTACTATGCTTTTCACCTTTAAAATGTTGGTCTGAGGATTATGGTTCTGTAAGAATTTTAATCTTAAAACAGCTCGTGGCTACTGAGGTCTTGTAATAGTTGCTCATGTTTGCCTAGGCAGTAGCTTTGTTACTAGCCAAGCTGGGCAAATGGGAACTGAAACACATACACTGCCAGACTTGTTGCTGTTTCAAATACATCTCAGTGCTAGTCCCTTACCAACCCCTTCCTTCTGCCCAGCCATCCAGCTTTCTTCTTGTATCTCTTCCTCTTAGGGATTGTCCTGTTACTGTTTTCTTTGCCTTTGCTCCATGCTGTCTTTATGTGCGTATGTACATTATAAACAATAATTATGAAGATGTGGTCCATGTATATAGCATACAAGTGTTCTGTTTACGTAGCTTCTAGGAACTAAAATGAGCAGTGTTTTCAGTTCCTCCTCTTGAAATCTTCTTTGCTGCTTTCTACCTGTTCCAAGACAAAATCTTGAGCCCTTTAATGCTTGAAAGTATGAAGAACAAAATCTGGAATATACACTTGGAATTAAAAAAGTGTATTTCATAACATCATCCTTGCAGTAATACTGGCATCTTTTTGTCATATTTCGTTTAAGATCCCACTCTAGCGGGGGCGGCGGGGGGACTCTCAAACCTTAGAATATGTTCTCTTCTGGGGATTGTCCCAAGTACAATATTTGAAAGAACCCTGAAAAAAGAATTAAGTCCTCTGGGAAAGGGAATGGAAGGGAAGGTGACAGTAATAATCTCTACTGCTTGTACGTAGGACTCTGCTATCCTTCCAGTTTTTCCTTTCCTTGTGCGAGAAGCAAGCATTCCTTCCAATCCCTTGAAATGCTTATGCTGGAGAGTGTATTACATGAAATGCTGTTGTCAGCAGAGCATTGAAATTGATTATTTATGCACCAAGTGGTGACAAGGGTGTAAAGCAAAAACTGAAGAGACCCCACCACACACCCTTCCAAAAATCACATTGTAATTCCACAAGTTTTTTGTAGTAATAGTTGTCTAATATCTATTAGAGAGAAATTTAAAATTTCAGGCTGACAGCATCTCTTTAGCAAGGGCTCTCTTTAACAAGTTGGCATTGCTCTCCTTTTTATTCACCTCTGCTTGCCAGGCAGCAGGCTGTTTCTTGAGTTAGTGATGCAGAAATCTAAAAGGTCAAAGCTATAAATAGCTGTTTGGGAATATTTTTGCTCGTGGTCTTCATACATTAATTTTTCTTTCATGCCAGTAAGCCTGGCTTTCTCAATTAAATTGCATGTGAATACATAGGCTTTTTTCCACTTCCTCAACCATCTCCAGCCCAACCCAAGTACCTGGGTTCTCTCTCTAAATAAAAGCTCGGTTTTGATACTGTGACCAACAAGCAAGTTAGTGTATCTGTCAGTTGCTTCACAGGACTCATCTGTATGTCCCATGGTCCTCTCTGGTCATCTATAAAAAATGACGAGTGGTTGCAGCTGAGGACTGCTCTGCCTTGAATTGCCTCCCAGGTGCTTCAGAATCGAGGCGGGTGCCGGGATGGCCTCAGTGGAGCAAGGTCGCCTGGTGTTACTGCGGGGCAAAGGGGTGCAGTGTTAGAGTACAAATGTCAAAACCTGTTCCCAGAGCCTGATTTACGCCAGGGGTTTACATCAGTGCAGAAAGGATATTATTGGGTCAGACCTGGGGTCTGCTTACCCCATTTTCCTCCTTGGAGAAGAAGGTGAGAACAAGGCAAGCCTGTAATGATGCTTCTTCAGACCATGGTGTTTCTCTGCGTAATTTCAAAAGCAAGACTGGCTCTTTCTTGGTGCTCCCCTTCTGGATTACAATCTATCACAAACTACTGAAATAGTGACTTAAAAATTCTGCTGTCTGATTAGCTTTAGCATTTACTTTGAATAAATAAATTGTGTTAAGGTTACGCGCATACCAGTAGTATAAGTCATAAAAGTTTTTCAAACCTTTATGATGATGTTGGCCACGTGCCATTTGTGGTGTTGCCCCTCATGGATTTAAACCTAGATAGGAGGGGCTCACAGGCCTAAGCAGTAGGCTGTGTGGGAGTAGCAGGGTAGGAGGCATTTGGATGTCTGGCTCAGCATGAAGCCTGTACTTTGCAGTTTCCTGTCTCCATGGAAGCTGCAGCAGAAAATTATGGCAGAGTAGTTGGAATCATTTTTGCAGGGAAAACCTATTAGCTGGACTGTCCTGGAGAAGCTCCAGAAGTGGGCCCCTGTGAACCTCATGAGATCCACATGAGGCCAAGTCCAAGGTCCTGCACCTGGCTCGGGGCAACCCCCGGTATCAACACAGGCTGGGGGATGAAGGGATTGAGAGCAGCCCTGCTGAGAAGGACTTGGGGGTACT